GGAGCGAGAGAAAGGAGCCGCATCCCCGCCCGCCTCCTCCCCTTTCCTGGGGCTGCACCTCGCCTCGCCCCCCAATTTCAGGTACCGGACGCCTCCCCCGGGACCCCCACGGGGCTGCCCGGGCCGCAGCCCCCCCCCTTTTATCCTCCCCCCCCAAGCCCCGGGCACCGCTCCCCATCCGCCGCAGCCCCCCCACCCCCAGCCCCGCACTGCCGCTGCGGCCCCCTCCTCATCCAGCCCTTCTGCATCCTCCCCAAGCATCCTTCAGCCCCCACAGCTCGCCCCATGCACCCCCTCATCCCCCCCACCCCATACATCACTGAACCCCCACCTCACCCCTCCAGCCCCCCCCAACCCCTGCTGGCCCCATATACCCCCCCATTTGCCATTTCAGCCCCTTCCAGGCTCCAGCTTTTGCCCCCTCTGCCCCTCCATCAGCCTCCTCACCTGCCTTGCCTCCTCCTCAGCCACCTCTCGCTGATGGCAGCGCTTCGCCTCCCTCTCCGCCCCCCAGGGGAGCCTTTTTCTAGCCCTTTCCTCGAAATCCCGGGCGCTGCCTTGCCCTCCCCAGCGCCGTGGAGCAGGAGCCCCAGGCGAGCAGGTGGGAGCGTGCCAGGATTGATCCTCGCAGCTCCACCAAGCGCTCCCATCGATTTGGGACGGGGAGGGGGGACACGACACCTCCCGTACCCAGCAAAGCTGCTGGTGGGGACGTGAGATGACAAGGGCCAGGCCAGGGATGGCCACGGTGCCAAACATGCAGGGACCGGGGGGTTTGGACCTGCTGGTCCCTCCCGTGAGCAGCTCTGGGACAGGATGTGCTCGGCGGGTACGGGGGCTTGGTGGGGAAGGGGCCATCACCTGCTGGCCATCCGGGGCAGCTGGGTGCCTCTGGCGGCCGTGACATCTTTACAGCCATCGATTTACGCTCGGGGGTGCTGTGGCGGCGATGCGTGGGAGCTGGGTGAGGGGGGGATCAGCACCAGGTGGCTACGTGGTGAGATTTTGGAGGTGGGGAGGAGCGGTGGAGCCATGGCTGAGTGATCACCATCCCCTGAGCCCTGGGACCAGCGGGGCCGTGTGAGGAAGCATCCAGCTGTGTCCAGCTGTGTGTTTTTTTCCCCCCGTTTACCTCCAAGGGGCCCAGCAGACCTCTGCCACCGGAGCCCCTCTGCCGGGCGGCTCCTGCAGCCGCCTGCTATTGCAGCGCTGCCTGCCAGAGCCGCTGGGCGCTGCTGCAACATGGCTGGGGGAAGCCTGCACGCCCAGCCCTCACGCTGCCGCTTGGAGACGGCCGCCACAGAGCCGGGGCTCGGGTGTTGAGAAGGGGATGGGAGCCGAGAGCGTTGGGCTCGCCGGCAGCGCGGTCCCGTGGGTGCCTTGTGGGGGTCCTGCCCCTCCAGCCATCATCGCCCCACAAGGTGCTGCGTGGCCTAAGTGGGGACGAGCTGGTGGCTCGGGTCCTGAGGGGACTTGGGCAGCAGGTGACACCATGGGCTGGCCCTGAAGCCATGAGGAGGCTGGGGGGGGAGGCCTGGCAGGTCCCCGTGGCTGATGTGGTTTGGGGCGGTCTGAGAAGGGGCGGAGGCCCCGTGGCCACCCATCCTGTTGCCCCCATGTCCCCAAACTCTATCCAGAGGTGGTGGTGGCCCCAGCACGGTGTGGAGGCAGGCAGCAGTGGGGCCAAAGGGGAAAATGCATCAGCTGGCCGTCTGTCCAGCGTGCTGGGGCTCCTGGGTAGCAGGGCCTTGCAGGAGGGGAGCCAGGAGCGGTGGTATTGCTCCTCGGGGAGCCTGGTGCCTGCAGGAAACCGTGATGTCCCACAAGGGTCAGCATCTCTGGGGGATGGAGACCTCGCCACCTCCTCGGCAAGCTCAAGGGGGTGTTTTCAGGCTGAGGCAGAGACCAGCCTTGGTGCTAAGGGTTTTCTGTGTGTCTGACATGTGCCTGTGGGTCTGGGAAGCCTTGAGCTGGGATGCGAGGCGGGTAACCCTGCTTTTTGTGATGGGGGACCAAAGGTTGGTCTGGTTCTGAGGTAGCCCCAGCAGACGGGTTCTCTGTATCCCCCACTGTGCCTGTGTTGTCCCCAGGATGGAGTCTCTGACCCCAGCCCTCCCTGGAGCTGAGCCGTGTGCCTGGGCCCTGATCCTATGGCCAAACCCTGCAGGCAGGGGCTGCCCCTGCTTGTGCACTCGCAGTTTTTGGGTGGCAACTGGGGGATGCCAGCATTGTCGGGGGTTGAGAGGTGTCCTCTGGCAGGGGTGCTGTCCTTGTTGGCCTCGGGGCTTTGCTCAGCCTCCCTGGAGAGCCCCACACCTTCCTGCAGCAACACACAGGTGGCACCCACGCTTCTCCTGCTGGCACTCAGGGGAAAGTTGGCCCAAATGTCCCTGTAGGGCCTGCTCGAGCTTTTGTGGACCATGATAGAGCTGATGGGAGTAAGGGCTGCTGCTTGTTGCTGGTATTCTTAGCCTCTTTGAGGAGCAGGAGAGAAAGGCAGGGGTGTTCCCAGCATGGAGGAGCAGGGGGTGAGGAAGAACCATCCTTGCCTCCCCTGGAGCATCCACACGAGAGGAGGAAAGGGCAGCAGCAACGCAGAGATAGATTTCTTTATTCATTCCATCGAGCCAGAAGGTTTTGAACAGAGCAGACGCCTCCAGGCAGAGCTGGTAGGGAAGATGGAGCCTGGGATACTGTTGTAAGGGAGCCGAGAGACACCAAATACAGCGTCGGGAGTGAAACCCGCCAGTGGCACTGAACCAGGGGAGCAGCAGCCGGCGGCAGAGGAGCTCAGCAGAGTGGCCCACGTGGCTCCGGGCTGGCTGAGGAGGCAGCAGGGCCACGGGGGCAGAAAGCCGACCCCTCTCCAGCAGCGTGAAGCCAAAAGAAAGCCCCCCTGCCCTGCAGGAAGGCATCCCATTGCTGTGACAGGGCCCTAATGGGACTCTTCTGTTCCTCCCTGTCTCGGCCAGCGATGCTGCAAGGGCAGGAGAAGGAGCCGGGGTAACCAGATGCCCCGCTGCGGGTGCTGGGGACCGGCCGCTGGAGCGCTACCAGGAGCCGGGCTGGCTGGCTGGCAGGCAGAGGCAGTCAGCATCCCCGGCAGAGAGCAGGGACTTGGCACGGGCTCAGCTGGGGAGGCTATTTTTTTATTTTTCTCCCCCTCCAGGACAGCTGATTCCATCTATTTTTAATGAGCTTGCCCGGGTTGCGCAGTGAGGAGACGGAGCAGCACCGGCAGCCACGGGCTGCACTGGGGCAGGGGGTGCCCAGCGCTCAGCATCCCCCCACCAACAACTGACCCCGGGCCGGGGTCTGCCTCGGGGTGGGAGCGCGTGCCCCAGGGAACGGGGGGGTCCTCCTCGATGCAGCTGCCCCTGGGCATGGAGTCGAGCGCCGAAGAGGAGAGCTGGCTGGAAGACCAGTGGGAGAAATGGTAGGGGACCAGCTGGGTATTGGGACAGGGGGGCTGTCCCCAGGGGTGTGCATGGGGACGGGTGACAGCCCCTCGCCTGCGGGCACATCGCCCTCTCGCACCGGTGCTGCCGCAGGACAGCAGCAAACTTGGCACCGAGCGGAGCCCGAAGTTTTCCTGGCTGTGCAGGGAGACGTGCGGCAAATGGGGCCGCCGTGGGCGCGGGAATGTGCGTGTCCGGCAGGATTTTTCAGCAGGGCGAGAGGAAGGAGCTGCCAACATGCGGTGTGGTGGAGATAAAAGGGCTGGCGTGCAGGGGGGTCACCTCTCCTGCTGCTGGGTGCAGGCAGGGATGGTGCTGGGGCCCGTGGCTCCTCACTGTGCTTCCACGCCTCGGCGGACAGAGGGAAGGGGCTGATGGTGCCCAGCCATGGCGACCCCTGTAACCGGAGAAGAAATCGATCTGGGCTTTGAAGGTTTCTCTGCGAGCATCCTGCTCTGCGCTTCCTCCCCTCCTGCAGGCAGCAGCCGTGGGGCACATGGGACTCCTCCCAGTGTGGCCCTGCTTCGTCTCATGTAGGGACACCTCCACCCCATGTCTGGCAGAGGACTTTTGGGCTGGGCTCTTGTGTTTCCCACCCCGGTAATGAACAGACACGAGGAGCATTGCGGTAGCACCACGTATAGAAATGTTTTAATGCACAGGAGCCAGGGGCTCCCCGGGGAGGCAAGCGAGCACGCGAGGAGCTGGGTAGTCAGCACATTTCCAGCCGCTAAAAGGAAATCTCTGCAAACTTTCCAAAGGGGAGTAATGTGTCTGTGGGGCTGACAGCCATGAGGGAGCCATAAAGGGCTCATCGGGGCAGTGAGCGATGCCGATGGGCTCGGTTTGTGGTGTGTGCAAGATCTGCAGGTCTCGATGTGATCACATGCCCCAGCGGGTCCATCCTCCTGCCGTGTCCCACCGGGCCCTGCCCTCCCCGTGATCCCAGTGTTTGCCCCGCTGGTCCCAGAGGTGGTGTTGGTGGCCCCGTCTGGGTGTGCCCTCCTGCCCCCCACACATGCAGTGTGTGACCGTGGTCTCCGCTCCCTCCAGGCTCACCCACGACATCAGCCTCGAGGAGTTTGAGGATGAAGACCTCTCCGAGATCACCGATGAGTGTGGCATCAGCCTGCACTGCAAGGAGAGCCTGGCCGCCCGGGTAGGCGCATGGGATGGGGACAGGGATGGGATTCCACGTTGTGCTCATGTGTTTGGTGCTGGCTGTGGGCGGCGAGGCACTGGTGGCCTCCTGCAGCCTCTGATTTGGGACCTTCCCAGGGCAGAAGGAGGCTGCTGGGGCACCGGCACTGAGCCCGGTGCCTGAGGCTGGGCGTACTGAGCCTGCTGGGGCGCGAGGCGGAGGCGAGCTGTTCCTAAACAGGGGAGCCGACCGTGCTCAGAAAAAGCAGCTGCTAAAAATACGCACAAATGGTTTAGACGGGATGTGGAGGATTGCCCGAGGAGCAGAACTGAAAGCGGCGGCTGCGAGGGGGGCTTTTCAGCCTGAAATGTCAGCGCTGAGAGCCAGGGAGCTCGCGGGCCCGATGGCGATGGCTCCCGCGAGACGAGAGCTTGCGGGATGCGTCTGGTGAAGCAGCCAGGCCCGGGGGGAGTGTTTTGGCTGGGTCTGGCCACGTGCACGGCGCGGAGGCTGGGAAACCGGGAATAACCCCGGCACGTGAGCACCGGCTGCATCCCGTGGGGACGCGGCCCCGGCTGAGGGCAGGAGCCAAACTGAAACCCGGAGCAGAGCGGGCTCCTGAGGGCTGGGCGGGTGCCGAAATTCCCCCCTGGCGCTGGGAGAGGCTGGAGAAGGTGGCTGCTGGATGGGGCCGGGCGGGCAAAGATGCCCAGCAGCAAGATGCCTTTGCAAAGGGCGATACCTCGACAGAGGAGGGGGTTGGTGTTGTTTTTTTTGGGTGTGTGGTGGTTTTTTTTGGTGCTGGGAAAACAATGATGACTTCATCACGGGCTATTTTAGCAGCTCTCCAGAAATAGTGGCTCAGGCACACAGCTTGCAAAACGTGGCTGGCTCCGGCAAGGAGGCTGGGTGCAGCAACGTGGGGCACGGTGGCACAAGTGCAAGGCCCAGGTTTTGGGTTCAGCCTCGGTTTGCTTGCTTTTGAACACAGGGCAGCTCATTCCCAAATTCAGCAAGGTGGGTCCTGCTGAAAGCAGGCTGCAGCTAGCGAAGGCTTGTGGCATCATTCGTGTTCCGGGAGCTGCTGGAACCGTTTAATGCAGGAACAAGAAATAGAAAAAAAATACTCTTCTTGGAAATACGGGAGAGTGAGAGAAGCAGTGCCCGAGGGAAAAGAGCAGGGATGTGCCTGCATTAAACCCGCATGGGCTGATCCCAGCCACAAAGATACAGATGTGGGGAGACAATTGCTGTGATTTTACAGCACAGTAAGGCTCCTGGAAATGCGGGGCTTCCTCTCGTTCCCATCCCTGGCTCAGTGTGACCTCTTCCCCACCGCCAGCCTTCGGGCTGTGCCAGAAGGGAGGGGAACAAGCAGCATCCACCCCGTGCCAGCCCCTTAACGCGTACCTGCAGTGGTTGTAGTTCCCTCTGAGCTACCGAACCCCGAATGGCGCGTCACTCCTCGTGCCCACGTTCCTCAGAAACAGGCTCTGTTTTGCTCTTCTGCGTCCTTCTGGGACTTTCCCTCCTCTGAGCTCCCCGAGTGATTGCCACAGCTTCAGGATTGCCGAGGCAGCATCATTAGCAGTCTCGGCAGCATGTCAGCAGCTGCCTCCAATACGCCTCCCTCAGCTCGGTCTCACCAGTTTAGCTGGCAGGTTCCCCCAGCTCTGCTCCCGTTTCCTTGTGAAAATCCAGGTGATTTGCCACAACCCCTGGCATCCGCCACGAGAACCGGGGAGCTCTTTGTGTTAGGCCAGTGTAAAAAAACAAGGCGACCACCACCACAAGCTTTGGTGGTCTGGAGGGGCAAGCAGGCCGGGCTGAGGCTGGAAATCTGCCTTTATTTTGGGGCTGGGGTCAGTGCTGCTGCGGGGTGCCGGGGAGGCAGGTCAGGACCGCGTCCCCCCAGCCTGTAGCGGGGCAGCGGGAGGGAGGGAAGGCCGGCAGCCACGGCGATGGGCACGTGGGGTGGGACGTGCCATCATCCCCTGCTGCTTTAAAAGGCTGAGGCCAACTGGCACGGCCATCCTCCGGCCCTCCCAGTCTCCTGACCGAGCCGCTAATCCCGGCAGGGCTGTGTGAGCCGGGCGGGCGGCGCGGCGCGGGCGGCGGGCGGCGGGGAGGGCAGCCGGCTGCAGGCCGAGATGCTGCAGCTCGACCTCATCGACGCCGCCGGGGATGCGCCGGCCGAGGAGCAGACGGAGCCCCAGGCGCTGCAGAAAGCCCCCCAGCCCCCCAGCACCGAGAGCTACCGGCCCAAGCGACCCACCACGCTCAACCTCTTCCCGCAGGTGCCTCGCAGCCAGGTGAGAACCGGCCCGGAGGGGTGGGAGGGGATTTAGGGGCTTTTTTCCCCCCTGGCTTTTGCCCCCCTGAGCTTTTGCCCCCCTGCTTTTGCATGGAGGGTGTTCCCAGGCGCTGCTGTCCCCGTGAGGGGTGGTGTTTAGGTGCCCTGCATGCTGCCCCTTTGAGCTGGCCTCCCCGAGCCCCGTCATCCCTCCCGCAAACTTCCCAAACCCGCACAAGGTGTGCCGCTGCGCGCGGGGCTATTTTTTGCCTTCCTCCTGCCTTCGGCAGCGGCTTCCCTTGCCAAGTAGGAGGATTTTCGTGGCGCTGACGTGCAGCTGAGGAGCGCAGAGCGAGAGGCAGGTGTCCCCGTGGGTGACAGATGGGGAGTAGTCGGAGCTGGGTGTCACCAGCCCGGCACAGGCAGCTGATGCCAGCTCTCTGCCTGAGGCCATGGGTGGGAGGAGGAGGAGGAGAAAGAGGAGGAGGAGGAAGGCACGGAGCCAGGACAATGCCCGCAGGGCAGCTGGCACCGGGGACAAAGGCAGCAGGGACACGGGGAGGCGGGGGGGAGCTGGCTGGAGCATAATGGACAAGGGGACAGCAGGCAGCCTTGTCCCACCCTGCGCAGGGACCCCGAGGAGCCGGTGGCACGTGGGAGCCACATCCAGCTGGGGGGACGGGGACAGCAAAGGCACCCCCCGGGCAGTTGGTCCCAACCAGTGTCCAGACCTGCGGAGAGGTATTTTTGGGGGGTGGCATGGGGGGTGGGGGTGCATAGATGGTGGGCTGGGGAGGGGGAGGCTGCGGGGCCACGCTGGGGGCCACAGGCACGACCCAAGCTGAGGATATATGGAACAGGAGCTCTGTGGCACAGGGCCTGATGTGGCTGGAAATGGGAGCCCGGAGCCAGCAGGGATGGGCACATGGGGCCTGTGTGTGTGCCCCGAGGACAGGACAGGGTGCTGGGGATCCCACGGATCTTGGTGGGCTTCAGGGCAGAGAGCTTCGTGTTGGTGGGGAAGCAAAGCAAGGGGCAGCTCCCACGCTGATGGTGACGGCTGCAGGAGAAAACCCCAAGAGTCCCAAGCTTGAGCAAAAACTGCTGCTGGGGGAGAAATACCCGCGCTGTGCCCCAGAGCTGTCTGCAAAGCCCGGGAGCAAAGCGTGCCCAGGAGGGTGGGCTGCACCCCGGGACGGGCACGGGCACCGCGGGGAAGCGCTCGGGCGGTCCCAGGCAGTGCCCAGGGACCGTGACGGCCCCAGCCGCTGTGCATGGCTGAGGGATGGGGAGGGATGGCTGCCACGTGCTGTTTACTGCCCGGGTGACAAGGCGGCTTTGTTCTCCTCCCCAGGACACCCTGAATAACAACTCCCTGGGGAAAAAGCACAGTTGGCAGGAGCGGGTGTCCCGGTCGTCGTCCCCTCTGAAAACGGGTGAGTCGGGGGGCTGGTGGCCAGGGGCCTCGCACCCTTGGGTGGCTCCTGGGGGTCAATCCCCAGCCTGCAGCATGGGGTGAGCGGTGCTGGAGGTTGGGGAAAACATCCCCGATGGGAACATGTCCATCTTGAGCCTGGAGCATCCCCGCTGGTGGGAACACCAACGCTGCTCTCCTCCCCGCAGGTGAGCAGACCCCTCCCCATGACCACGTTTGCCTGAGTGATGAGGTCAATCACCAAAACAGCACAACCTCCACCAAAGACCGGGGCACGTCCACGGAGAGCCCGTGCCGGCGCACAGCAGCCACCCAGATGGCGCCCGCCTGTGTTGCCTCGTCCCGGCCCCCCGAGAAGCACCAGGCCACCAGCAGGCCCCCGCCCCACGGAGCCAGCGTGGTGGTGGTGACGACGAGGGGCCCCGAGGCCCACCGCGACCGCATCCGCTACCAGACGGACGTGAGGCTGGAGGCCACGGAGGAGATCTACCTGACGCCCGTGCAGAAGAACTCGGACCCGCTGGAGACCGAGAAGCCGTTCCTGTCCCAGTCCAGCGAGAACCGCATGTCCATCAGCTCCGACATCGACACCTCCAGCTACTCGGCCCTGGCAGGGAAAACCAACCCCTCCATCAGCGAGGAGGACGAGGTGCTGGACTACATGTCCTCCCCTGACAAGACGAGCCTGCCCCGGGCCTCCTGCGTGGGTGGGAGCAGCGGCTACCGGCCGGGCCACAACCTTCAGAGAGCGTCGGTGAGTTCGGACACCAGCGCCTTGTCCTACGACTCGGTCAAGTACACGCTGGTGGTGGATGAGAACGTGCAGCTGGAGCTGGTCAGCCTCAAGCAGTGCTACTCGGGCTACAGCGACGAGAGCGACTCGGCCACCGTCTACGACAACTGCGTCTCCTCGCCCTACGAGTCGGCCATCGGCGAGGAGTACGAGGAGGACGCGCTGAAGCGCGACTCGGTCTGCCTCTCCGAGGACTCCACGCCCGAGGCGGACATCCACTTCTCCAAGAAGTTCCTCAACGTCTTCATGAGCGGCCGGACACGCTCCTCCAGTGAGTGCTGGGCGGAGGGAGGAGGTGGGTGGGGGGCTGTGTCCCCAGGCAGCCCTGCAGGTCCCTGGTATGAGCTTGCCTGGTCCAGGGTGCCCTGCAGGGCCTCCAGCGAGATGGAGAAGCTCCAGCAGGTGCTGGCTCCACAGCCTGTGATTTCTTCCCTTGTGGCCGAGGGATATGGGGGGGCTGGAAAAGCCTCGTATCACACAGCTGGGGGCATTTCAACCTGTTTTTTTGTCTGAGCTAAAACCACGAGGTATGAGCGAGGGCCGTGTCCTACCTGCGGTGGTGCTGGCCCTCAGAGCTGCAGCGTGCCCCTCTGCCTTCCTCCCCAGGTGCCGAGTCCTTCGGGTTGTTCTCCTGCATGATCAATGGCGAGGAGCAGGAGCAGACCCACCGCGCCGTCTTCAGGTGAGTGTGGGCACGAGCAGCGTCCCAAGGCCGTCCCTACCCAAACCATGCTGCTTCCAACATGGGCAGCCTGGGGACCAACCCGTTGTCCTTAGCTCAGGGGTGAGAGACCCCCCAGGGCACCCAGGATCTCTCTGTGCAGCCACATGGGGGATGCACCAAGGGATAGATATCTGTGTGTGTGCTGGGGTCCTGCTGCCCTTTGAGCCTAAAGCCGCTCAGATCTCCATTCAGCATCCCAGATCTTGGCTAACTGCACCTGCTGCCCACCCGTGCTGGCCGCAGGTCCCACGTTGCCCCTGACCCAGCAGCGGGTTGGCGAGCAGCCCGCCAGAGCGGCCGGGTGCCAGTGACTCCCTGCCCAGGTTTGTGCCTCGCCACGCGGACGAGCTGGAGCTGGAGGTGGACGACCCCTTGCTGGTGGAGGTGCAGGCGGAGGATTATTGGTACGAGGCCTACAACATGCGGACAGGGGACCGGGGCATTTTTCCTGCCTACTACGCTATCGAAGTCACCAAGGACCCAGACCACATAACAGGTATGGTCGGCAATGTTGCTGATTCCCTGCTCACCTCTGAGAGGGGGAAAGGAGGGTGTCAGGCAAAGAATGATGCTGCAGCCAGTGGCAGTGGGGACTTGTACCCGATGCTGGGCAGGGAATTGTGCAGATGTAGGGGCACGGCGATGGCCATCAGAGACGATCCCCACCACGTGCTCTGTCTTCCAGCTCTGGCCAAGAACAGCGACTGGGTGGACCAGTTTCGGGTGAAGTTCCTGGGCTCGGTGCAGGTTCCCTATCACAAGGGCAACGACGTGCTGTGCGCAGCCATGCAGAAGGTAGTGTCCCAGCCCGGGCTGAGCCCCTGCGTGGGAGCGGGGAGAAGAGAAGGGGCGAGCTGTCCTCACGGGCTGCCCACGAGTGCCTGGGCTTTGTGTCTCTGTCTCCCTGCAGATTGCCACCACGCGCCGCCTTACTGTGCACTTTAACCCACCCTCCAGCTGCGTCCTGGAGATCAGCGTGCGCGGGGTCAAGATTGCCGTGAAATCTGACGACTCCAAGGAGCACAGCAAGGTAGTACCCACTCGTCTCATCCCTTCCCTACTTGCTGCTCTTAGCTTGGGAATTAAGGGTCTCCACCCAAACGTGCTCCTTGTTCCATGAGAAACACCATCCAAAGGGCTGTAGGCCCACCATCAGGGTCCCCCAAGCCTGGTGGGAGCCCAGTTTTGGGCTGTACCAGAGGATGGTTCCCTCACAGCTGCCAAGCGAGTTGTTGTGCTGGGATGCTGCGAGCTGAGCTGCACCCGTAATCCCTCAGCTGCTCCTAAACCTTCCTGCTACTATTTTGAGTGGCGTCCTCCAGATCTGCCCCGTAATCTCTTTAGCTGGGTATTGCAGGCTGCTGATAAGTGGTCTCCATAAGTAGCCTAGCAAGATGCTGTGTGGAGGCAAGCAAAGCCTTCACAGCAAGCATTTTGGAAACCTTGTCTTTGGACAGGGTGCTGGATTAGTCCACGGCCACGGGTGCTGTGGTGGTGAGCTGGGCTCAGCCTGAGCTCCTATTTCCAGGGCTGGAGACCAGCTGCCCCGCAGGGCGGGTGGGGAGACGTGTTGACAAGTTTTTTCTCTGTTTCCCCCAGGTAAACAAGTGTAGCCATTTTTTCCAGCTGAAGAACATTTCCTTTTGTGGATACCATCCAAAGAACAACAAGTGAGTAGTGGGAGGTGCAGGGCAGCTCTCAGTGCCTCAATGCATGGAGGCTTTGCTGCCTTCCTGCTTCCAGCATCCCCATCCTGAGGGCTCCCCTTTCCCTGTAAGCCACAGCTTCATGCGAGGAGCAGCCTTTGAGTGGGTTTCACATCCCAGATGTGGGCCTGGGCCATGCGAGCTGGTGGCTGCTGGGGTGTGGTACCCCCTTTGCCAAAGCTGGGGACTGGGGGTACTTGTTCCTGCCTGTCCTGACACTCCATTCTCACCCGCTCTCTCTGCCCTCAGATATTTCGGGTTCATCACCAAGCACCCTGCTGACCACAGATTTGCCTGCCACGTCTTTGTCTCGGAGGAGTCCACAAAGCCGCTCGCGGAGTCCGTAGGGTGAGTCCTGGCTGGGGCGGGAGGAAGGTGCTCCCTCCCCACAGACAGGAGGAGCAGCACCTGGCTCCTCTCCCCTGCAGCGAGGGGACTGGGGCCAGGGCCAGGGCTGACGCTGCTGCGGGCAGCGTGTTCCTGACAGCGCTGGAACAAATCCTGCTGCAAAGCTTTGCAGGCAGATGGCTGAAAGCCACGCGCTGTGTGGAGGCTCGGAGCTGGGATGGAGATCTCGCTCCAGCGGTGCCCCTGGGTGCTAATGCATGAGGCTCCCCGGGGCCAGGAGGGGTTTGAGCTGACAGCAAGGGCGAGAAGGGGAGCAAAACAGGCTCAGTAAATGCCTCGGGGAGGGTACAGCTGAGCTCTGCTCCGTGCTGTGTTGCAGGAGGGCTTTTCAGCAATTCTACAAGGAGTATGTGGAGTACACGTGCCCCACAGAGGACATCTACCTGGAGTAGGGGCTGGCACGGGCGCCTGCTGCACAGCCAAGGCTCGCCCCTTCCCCGTCGTGCATGGACAAGAGCTGCTTTGAGACCAGAGGAGGAGCGGGCCCAGGGAAGGGCTCCCCGGGGCACCGAGCTGCCTCTTTTCGTGGCTCCCCTTCCTCGGGCTGGGGCTGGGGGGACGGGAGGGGGGAGGGCTGGACAAATCGTGTTTATTGTACAAAATATTTAGTTTATTCTATTGGAGAAGTGCCCACGGGGTGCCCTGCCTGTGAGTGCTGGAGGGGCGGGCAGCACAGCCTTGCTCCAGCCCTTCCCTGCCGCAGGCCGGGGTGCCAGCAGCTCCTCCCTGTGACCGTGGCCCAGCTCCCCGTCACATCCCTCGGGGGTGACTTTTAACGCAGTGGCAGAGTCGGACTCCTGCAGGATGAAGACACAGCAGCTACAGCCAACAAGAACCGCCTGAGGGCTCCTGCCTGGGGAGGGGACATCACTTCCCTGCCAGGCCCCCGGGGACAAGGCTGCCGGGCAGGGAGGACGGAGCCCAGTGGCTCTGCTTGGAGTGCCAGAGAGAGGACGAGCTGAGACAGCTCACCCCTGCCTCTGCCCCCATCCCTCCCCTCTTAGATCCATGCCCTGGGGTGAGGAAGATCCCCTGGTACCTCTGCAGTGACCACACCACGGGGAGGGAAGCGTTTCTCTGCCCCTGTCCCCTCTCCCCTCCAGCCGCAGGGGGCAGGGGCAGGGCTGAGCCACCCCCACCATGGTGGGGCTCAGCCCCGTGCAGACCGGGGTGCCTGCCAGAAGCGGAGCAGGGAAGGGCTAAAGCCTGCAGGGAGCCGCACACATCTCCAGGGAGGTTCAAAACACCACCAGAAACCTTCCCTGGTCCCTGCAGCCAGCGGTCTCTGTGCTTCAGCTGGATCTGCTGTGATGGCAACAACTATTAAATATGATGGTTCATGGAGCAGTGCTGCGGTGCTCTTTGTGTCCCACAGCCGTAGGTTTGGGCCCTGGATTTCCCCAGCCCTTGGGGGTGCAGGAGGTGCTGGAGTACCTCAGGTTTCCTCTGAGAAACCCAGCTGCAGACCTTGAAAGCCAGAGATCGTGGCGTAACTTACCTCATGCCCTTCCATTTACAGTACCAGGAGGAATCTGGCTCTGTTACCTCTGTAGTTGCCATTATGTAGTTGAGGACAGCAAAAATATCCCATCTTGGCCTTCTCTGCTTCAGGCTGAGCAGCCCCAGCTCCTCTAGCCTCACATACCCTGAGGGTATGGCTGGAGCCCCCCGTTCCTGCCCCCCACACCTACCTGTGTGCCCCGCTGTCCTGCGGCAGCGTAGGGCAGAGCAGAGGGCAGGCTCACAGGTGGGCATCGTCGTAGTACTCCAACAAATCAAGCTCATCACGCTTGGTTTTGCCAGCTCTGCGCAGTCCTGCAGGCCGCTCCCGGGCTGCCCGGGTCCTGAAGCGAGGCTGCTTTGGTTTAATGCCATAATCTGGGGGTAGACAGCGGGGTGAGGGCTGGGGGGGCTGTCCTTGCCTTCCCTGGAGGGGTAAGTGCACGGGACGGGGCTGGGGGAAGAGCTGTACCATCCACCAGGCCAAAGTGCTGCTGCGGGAGCTCCAGGAGGGCGGAGAAGTCCTCAGGGACTGAGTAGCTGTGGAAGAAACCCCGAGGTGGAAGCAAGCCGAAGCCTTCCTGCACTCACCTGTGTCATCATCACCAGCGGCAGCCCAGGCCTGCTGCAGGAGCACTGGGGCTACAGAAGGAGCAGCCAGCCCCTGCGGCACCACTGCAGGTACCGGGATGGGGGGAGAGGAGGAGGAGAAGGAGAAGTGCCCTTACCTCTGGCGCAGGGGCAGGGAGAGCGCAGCCGCCAGCAGCTGGGCGAGCAGCAGCAGCCGGGCGAGCAGCAGCAGCCAGCACCGCATGGCTGAGCCGTCACCCACCCCTCTCAGGTTCCGCAGCGAGGTCACAGAGGAGCCACCCGGCTGGCCCCAGCCCTTCTCCCCCTCCCCAGCCTTCCAGGCTTTACCTTCTTCAGCCTCCTCCTTGTCAGAAGCCCAGGCTGCGAGCCCTGCACCCTGCCAGCCCCCAGGATAGCCCAGGGAGGAAGGCTTCCCTCACCCATGAGGCCAGCTGGCAGCAGGCGGGCTGCTCGGGGGTAGCCCAGTGCCACAGGCTGGCTGACAGACCAAACCGATGGCTCACGTGTCCCTGAACTACCAGAGCAGATACAGAAGACGGCCGTAGCTGCCCAAGCCTCAGCTGGACCCTTTATTAAGTGCTGCACAGCAGCGTTTGCTGAATTAATCTCTCCGGTTCTCTTTGCCCTTGGCCAATCCCCCTGAGCACTGGCTGGCAGCCATTCTGCAAACCCTTTTAGCACACGTTAGGTGCTAGCACAGCATCCCGCAAACTGTGGCAGGAAACTGGGGCTGAAGCAGGCACCTGGAGTTAGAGATAGTCATAGCCGAGCATACAGGCCAGAGCAAAAAGCCTCTAAGAGACAAAACAGGAAGCATATCCCTGAGTAGACAACTGCGAAAGCTGCTCTTTCTGATAGGGACAGGCCTGCTGGCAACCAGACTCAGAAGACACAGGGGAATCCCCAGCTTGAAAGGGAAAGGAGGTCCTTCAGCTCAGCTCTTTCAGTTCAGACAGTTTATTTGACAGACAAGCCCGCTCCACGCAGAATGGCCAGGCACGGCCAACACAAGCAGGCTGCAGGTCAACCTCAGCGCCGTGAGGTGGGAGACAATGCTCTCCAAAAATCACTACGCTGCCTGGCTTTATGATAGTGCAGCTGTACAAAAGGAGGAAAAAAAAAAAAATCAAGTGCTTAAAAAAGGTCGTCCCGTCACCATCACTGGAGCCACAGCACTGTCCACAGAAAGAGGTGGCCAGGGTCTCTCCGCACATGTAGTGTCCATCATTCAGTAAGATCTGTTTAAAAATTACATACACCCCCCTCCCCACCCTGCAGATCAGGAGCTTCTCATTGATGGTTTAACTAAAAATTAATCGTTATCAACACCCCTTCCCCCAGCCTGCTTGCCCTCCTTAGAAACATCCAGCCATGAGCTTAGCAAATAAGAATCATCATTTCCTCATCAGCCCCAGTTGTAGAAATAGATTTTCTGCCAGGCAGGTAAGTAATCCATCAGCGGCCCTGAAACAAGAGAACACAAGGCAAGAATTTGAAGCTGTATGTGTATGAGGTAGCTACCCCCTCCTCATTAGGATACCCAACAATTCCAAATCTCCCCTTATACAACTCAGAGAAACCCAAGAATAAAATAGATACTTTTGCCAAGAGGGAAGGCAGCTCTGGGCTGTAGTGCCAGAGGTTAGAGCGGGACCAGGAGGTGTGTGAAAAGTGGTCAGCACAGGTACAGTGTGGAACATCACTCCCTCCTGTGCTGACGTGTCCAAGGTCTGGAGGGAAAGGGCTTCTGCAGTGCCCAAGGGGAAAACCTGCGCACAGTGAGTCAGGAGGACACAGCCATGGCACGGGGAAGAGGGAGACAACTCAGCAGTAATGGGCAGGTGCAGACACAGAAGGAACTGCTGTAGAGCAAAAATGCTTATGCTGGCACAAGGATTAATGCAGGCTCCAAAGCCTCTGAAATCAGTAGCAGGAGGAGTGGCTCCTGAGCTAGCCAGCTTCGTGACTTCCTCAGAGAAAGGACAGAGCCACAATGCCAGGCTCATCTAATACCTTATCACTGCCATGAACCAGCTTCGTATCAGCAGGGTAAGATGGGGAGATGGAAATTTTAGGCCCATAAAGGGATCCTCAGGTGAAGGACTAGGAGAAGGCAGACCTAGTTCAGCCCTTTGGTTTGCAATCCATCCCTGGCTGGGTCAATACCTCTAGGCAACTGTTTACCCCTCGCATCTGTATTGCAGACCAGGGATCAAAGAAAAGTGCAGAAGCACTGGCTGCAAAACAGGGCTGTGGTGCACTGGTGCAGCCACAGAAAGGCAGCCCAGGGGAACAGGCCTAGGTGGCAGAGACAAAGCTCTGCAGTCTGCTAGGGTGCAGAACCACTGTGGTCGAGCACAGGTCCCTAATAGCCAAGAAATGATTAATTCTGTGATTCTGTCATCTTTTCTGTTCCAGTTTATAACAACACCAGTACCAACAAGGGTGCACTGCTGCTAACCATGCCAGGGACTTCTCAATTCCTTCCTCAGGTGGTAAATTCCTTGACGAACACTCTGCACAGCTCCTGTGATTTTTCTCCACCCACCAGAAGCAGGGATACAGCAATGGGGCCCACTTACGTGTGATAAAGCCAACTCCAGGCACGTAATCAGCCAACAAGCGCAGGAGGAAGAGGATCCTGCCCCTAGGAAGGGAGAGAGTATGAGCAAGTCCAGTGGGACATCTGCCCCAGCTGCTGCGAGCACTAACAGCAACGGCAGCTGTTAGGCAAGGGCTTGTATTAACCTGGTCACAGGCACCCAGACCTCTTCAGATCTGCTCACCCAGTCCCCTGATGCTATTTCTGTTAAAAGGGAAATTCTCAGAAAAAGCCCAGCAGGGGCCCCTTACTCTGAGTATCGGTCATAGAAAGGAGATCTCAACAGGTAGTAGAGCAGCAGGATGGTTCGTCGCCTCAGCTCCGCTCGCTCTCGCCTGTTCAGGTCTTTCAGATCACTCAGCAAGCTCAGACTGGAAGGAGAAGGGAACAGAGCTAACTCAAGGCAACAGCAGCCAACAGGGAAGAAAAAAAAAAAAAAGTGGGTTTCTAAACGCCCTCTGCTCGCAGCTCCATGCTGAGCAGTCTGCACCAGCTTTCTGATGGGCAGTACAGAACAGGGAGTACTATAAGTGGTGTAGAAAATACCTAAATGTGTAAATCTCCCAGTTAAAAACCAGATCTGGCCCCTGTGCGTATGTCAGTAGGGCCCAATCTGCCCTGGATTGAGGAGCAGGGGGAAGCATGATGCTCAGCCTCCACCAACCTCAACCATCTGTAAAGTTACTTTCTTAGACTGACCTTGAGATGTCCAGGACTGCTGAGAGGAGCCAGGGTTTCCATGATCTCTGGCCCCACACTCCTAAACTCAATACTAGGAACGCACAGTCAAGGAATAGAAAGAACCAAAGATGCCTAACAAGAGGCACGCAGGCAAATGAATTACTTGGGTACCAGGAAAGCTCTGCAGAGCCCAGGAGAACACACTCCAAGGCAGTGCTGGAGGGCCCCAGGGAAGGTGTTGGAGGACTTGCACCCACAGCTCAAGCAGGTGAAACTGGATATCAATACGTAAGAGGAGGGAGGAGTCCCAGGAGCCCTGCACAAGCAGGGCAGCAGCAGGAAACCAGGAGCGTGGTGTGGTACCACCCTACCCCAGGGCTCGTTGGATGAGCCCCTAGCACCCTCTGCTGGCACCCAAGGCACAGTGTGCCCTCATGCAGCCAGGGCAGGATACAGTGAAGCAGAGGACGGGTAACGTAGATCGATTCTGCAATGGTTTCTTGGAGACCCAGGGGGGTGGGAGGCTGGTTCATCTCCTCTGCTCTTCGGTTCTGCGTCTCCTCCCTCTGCTGGGGGGACCCCCAGTGCCTGGACTCCAGGGATGGAGCTGAAACGAGATCAGGTAATGGCGTGGGAGAGCTCAAAGAGATGCACAAACAGCAAAGCTGGGCCTGCCCCTCCCCAGCTGCTGCAGCTGACTGGAATCCTCTGAGCTTGCATCCACAGGGGACACAGCAGGGAGAGATATTCCTAAGATTTGTGCTCCTCAAATCATTACCATGCTGTAGGGTTGTCTCCACCACACAGGTCACTTAGGACGAGACAACTCTAAGTGCTGGTCTTGCACCACGTGCCTGAATTTCCATTGCTTTGATATCCCTGGCAGGATATGCCCCCATACAAGTTGATCAGGTTTTGCTCTTCGCTGCCCACACCCAGGTCACACATAAAGGGCACAGGGCAGAAACAGCTCTGACGAGGATGGAAAACAGGCTCAGCTACTTACTGTTCTGGAGAGACCGCACAACACGGCTAGAACGCTTGCCAACATAGGTCTGATCCTTCCCTGAGGAGTTGCCTTCCATGTCTGTGGGAGAAAAATGCCAGAGGGTGAGGCTCCAAAGGAACACACCTGAACCCAGAGCTGGCAGCACCTTCCCTACATTGCAGCAGGCAGACCAGACTGAAGGTTTGACCTACTGAAGGACTAATACTACACAGAGTTCTCACAGGGTGAAAAGTTAACCTGCCTGACATTGTCCAGGCCTAGCATCTCCTTCCTCACCATCAGACCAGGGGACAGCTTGATCCACAATTCAGCCAGTGGTTCCAGGCTTTGACCCTTCCGCCCCCTCCTTCCAGACTGTAGGGTTACACTGTCTCTAAACTAACCCGCACTCTGGAGAGGGTGGAAAGGAAAGCACATGATGACACAGCTTTGAGTGCTGAACTCTGAACAGCTCCCTAGAAGCTCCTAGCAGGACAAGATGTGGCCCAGCAGATGCCAGGCTGGTGACAGCATGGAGGGCTCACCTTCGGGATGGAAAGGCTGCTGCTGCTCCCTGTTCAGCGGCACTATGGGAGGAGACGTCTGGATGCCAGCTTTGTACCACAGCAGGAGCAGGAGGCGAAGGATGGCTCTGTGGGCAGACATGCAGAAGACTTCAATACCAAGCTAGGGAGCTGTGCTCCTTCTGCGCTCAAAAGCTGGCGTCCCCAGAAGAGAGGGAACATTCAGTTCTGCTCAGGGAACTGTCCGGAGGGTAAGTGCTCCCTTCCAGCACAGCATCCAACACACTGCAGGGCTCCAAACTGCCCCAGCCTCAAGGATCAGCAGCTCAGTCCTGCTTGGCCTTTATTGTGGGGTAATGCCAAGCCCCCAAGCCCCCTCCAGATCCCCTTTCCGAGCACACGCAGCCCCTTCCCCTCCGCCTGCAGCACTTACTTAGCCAGCTGGATGAGGACGATGATGGTCCATCGGCCCATCTCCCCCCACATCCTGGCTGTCCCCATCTCTGCAAAGACCTCCACACATTCTAGCACGCTCAGCCAGGTCCGCAGCTTCTGCTGGGGCAGTGACTGCAAAACACAGAAGGAAGGGAAGGAAGGGGGACAGGATGCAGGTTCTGCTTGTGAGTTAAAAGTGGCACACACACAGCCCAGTCCGGGGGGACTCTCAGAGCTAAGAAAGTGATGGCCTTCGAAGTCACGGCCTCAGAAACAAGAAGTGGTGCCTCCCCTACAGCCAGAGGCTACAGGGAAGCCCTTTTCTCTACCTCAAGGAGGAGCAGAACACATCACAATATTCAGTGGAGCTGCTACCTCAGAAACAAGGAGAATTTCACAGCTGTATGTGAGGCCGCTATCTGCTCCAACTAAAAGAGCTTAACAAGTATCCTGGATTGTGGCACAGCACCCGAACTCCCAAGGTAAAACCCCTTCCTCCTCCTTGTTCTAGAGCTGGGGCACATGATGAGCCTCCTCCCTGGTCAGAGTTGAGGACACGGCAAACCTGCGGCGCAGGGTATGTATTACTTGAAAAGCATCAATAAGGAGAATAATGCTGAAATCCACTTTGCCCCACATTTGGGCTTTAACACCCAGAGAAGTGAGTCTTCTGCACTTTTGGTCATTACATACCCGATGTCCCAGCCAGAGAGCTGCCCGTGCGGGCTGGCACTGAGCCACCCACATCCAAACCCACCCAGCAGGCAGGCTTGCGACATCGAGGCCTGTCTGGGAAAAGCAAAGCCCTCCTCCTCCTTCCCCCACAGGGTCTAACGAGTGCTGAACGCCAACCTGGGGCTCTTGCAAAAGAGACATGGCAGCCAGGTGCTTTTATCTTTGCTTTGCTCAAGAGCACGCGCGAGGGAAGACTCCGGGGAGCCGAATCAGAGCAGGAGTGGTTATTCAGTGACTGCGCTCCTCAAAAAGAGCGGTGGGGCTCCCGGAGCAAGTCAGGGCCTGATTTCTGTGCTCTGGGAGCGCTCTCCTCCAGGACAGCAGCTACGGTGCAGGGCTGCTGCTACCGAGCATTCAGCGGTTACCTCTGGCCTCTGTGTACCTGGCAGCTACAGCAGTCCGTGGCAGGGCCCTGGGGGTTTCTGTGGGCACCCCCTGAGAGCACAGCACCTGCTCGGGAGAGAAACCCACGCCCCGATTCCTCCTGCCACGCTCTCCGGCCTTACCACGGGCAGGCTGCGCTGCAGCTCCTTCCGCAGGATCCAGTCGTTCAGCAGCACCAGCAGGTTGGAGGCCGAGTACACTGCGAGGGAGCGGGCACAGCGGGGTCACGGGGCGCAGGGCGAAGGAGAGGGGGGCGAGGAGGAGCCCCCCAGCCTCCAACCCAGGGATGGCCAACGGGGGGGGGGCACCCGGCCAGCCTCATACCTACCGAGCTCCGACAGCTCGTGGGCATCCGCGAAGCGACCTGCGGGGGGAGAAGAGAGGGTGACAGCGGGGTGACACCGGGGGGGTGACACCGGGGGGGGGAGGGTCCCATCCGCACCTGGCAGCAGGTAGGAGAGGCCGCGCACGGTGCCCTCCAGCTGGGCGGTGGCGGCCGGGTGCCGCCTCACGTAGTCCTGGTAGCGCTGGCACAGCTGCCGCAGCCGCCAGGCCGGGCCGCGGGGCGACGATGGGGACGGGGATGGGGACAGGGACTGGGTCGGGGCCGGCAGTGGGGCCGCCATGGCACGGCTCCGCGCCGCCTCCCGCAGCCGCCGCGCATGCACGGCCCGCCCAGCGCCGGCCGCCCCATGGGTGCCGGGGCGGGGGTTTAAAGGCACGGAGGCGGCGGCGGTGGTGGCCCCGGTCCCGGGGGTGGCCCGGCAGGTGCGGGGCTGTGGAGGGGGTGGTGGGGTTGGGGGGTGGTTGTATCTGGTGGTGGTGGTGTTAGGGAGGGAGCGTGGGGTGGGGGGACGCGGGGAGGTGTCCCAGGTGGGTGCCGGCAGGTGGGGTCCCTACAGCGGGCAGCAGGTGGAGACATTAATGGGGTCCTGGGGTGGGAGCCTGCCAGCCTCCTGTTCCCCTTCTAGCCCCTGTCCTTGCTCTGGGCTGCTGGGGCTGGAGGAAGGGAGGCGGTCAGAGCCACCCTGCTCCTTCCTGCACGCTATGGGTGTGAGGGACTCGCACAGCCCTGTGCGTGCTGTGCCTTTGCTGTGCCTAAGCGCCAACCCTCGCTTTGTAGGTGTGGGATGCACCTGGCTGCAGCCTGTTGCAGAAGAAGGGCCCACGCCTTTGCTCGGTCCTTCAGACCCTCCCCAAGCCGTGCTGCTGGGCTCAGCCGTGGCCGGTCACCCTGTGCTGAGCCCGCCTGGCCAACTGGCACGCCTGTGGTCAGTGCCCGCGAGCCACCCCACGGCAAACCTCATGGTCCAAAGGTCAGCAGCTGCACGGCTCCCTGCTGGAGCACGGCGCCTTTGAGGGAGCGCAGGGCGGGCAAGGAGGGTGTTCTGCAGCCTCCCGAGTGCAAACAGAGCTCCACCAAGCTTCCCCTCCTTCCTCCTGGCCGCTTACCTCCGCACAATGGGCGCACTGTCTGCCTGCGGCTTCCACCGCAAGGGTTACGGCTGTATGGGCAGGCACTTTATCCTTTCTGATATTTTTTCCCCCCCCTTCCCCTGAGGGTTTGTTTTCCGGCAGGCTGAGTTCATGAAGGGCACGAGGCACTGCTGGCAAACGCTCCGGTGCTAAAGAAAACTTTGTAGTCAGAATTGCGTGGGTTAGACCCAGCTTTCCATTCGCATGTCGTGTTACTACCTGTGAGCTGCTCTGACACTCACGGTGGCGGAGCTGCTAGTGTGCGTGTTGGAAGTGGGGTGGGACAGCACCTGAAGCCCGTGATGGGGACCTGCAGAGCAGCCTGCTCACAGTAGGCATACGCGCTGCCGATGACTCTAGGGGCATATCCAGTGCCGCCTGCCGGAGCTGCTGCCCTTCAAGGAGAAGTGCTGGCCCTGCCAGACAGCAATCTGAGAGCCGGCTGCTGAGGAGGCTGCCAGAGACACCTTGTCCACAGCCAGAGGTGAAGCCTGATGCACAAAGTCCTTGGGCTACTCTGAACAGCATCAGCTAGATAGTGCAGCTCTTTCCCCTAATGAGAAGCTTTTTGGCAGATGATTCCTCTTTCCTCCTCTTCCCTCCCTGTCCCGTGGCTCCCTCCCATCCGCTGGCTGGCCTGTCCGCCTTTCTGCTGGTGTCCCTCCCGCAGTGAGCGAGTTTGGAGGACAGTTTGGGAAGCATCACGGTGCCTTTTTATGGTAAATAAGCTGCAAGGGAGCACTGTAGGAGGGGCAGCTTCTCAAAGCTGCTGGGAGCCCATGAAATTGGGCAAGACTTCAACCACCTTGGCTCATGGTGCCCGTTGCAGGGGTAGGGAGGTGAAAGGCTGGGTGAAGGGGCTGGTTTCTCTCCTGCCTGTACCTGGAAAGGTCTCTGAGCCGCTCCTTTCATAGCACTTGCTGGTCAGGGTGACAAAGGCTGGTGCTTACTGGAAGCCCCCTGGCTGTGAGTGAGGCCAAATGGTTTCTCCGCTCTGATGCGGGATGCAGGCTCAGCAGTAACAGCAGGAAAAGAAGCACACCAGAACAGCACACGCTCTGCCAGCCCAGCAGCAGGTGCCGTGCTGAAGTCCAGCTTGCCTGGCTGCCAGCATCTCGCTCTTGGCTCAGGTCTGCAAAGACTGCACCGTGTGTGGGCAGGCTGACCCCAGGCAGGGAGTTGCAGTGGGTCTGAGGCAGCTCATCCTACAGAAACCTTGCTCAAACCGTGCCTAGTGCAGGCCTTGCAGTGTGCTGGGCCAGGGGAAGAGCTCGGCAGCATGAGGCCTGGGGGCCTGCCTCCACCTTCCTGCCCTGCTCAGCCCCATGCTGTGGTGTATTGGCCTGTTTTCTTTGCTTCTGGGTGAGCTCAGCCAAGCCTTTGGGATGGCTGGGGTTAAACTGTGACTAGCTCCAATTAAGTAGTGACCTGTGGGCTGATGTATGTACAGAGTATTTTAGTCCCTGACACATGAGCCCTGCCTAGAATGGAAGGCCCGATGCACTCAGGGCGTCTCACTGGAGGCCAGCACCTTTCAGGAGAGCCTCAATTCTCTGCCGAAATGAGGAGACGAGGGCAGGGAACCGCACCAAGCTCCAAGTGTGGCACTGCTGGGGGTGGCTGCTCACATCCCTGATCTTTTACAGCCCCCTTAGGGCCCAGAAAGGCAGCAGCTAGCAGGGGATGTTGGCAGTTGTCGTCCTCGAGTTCCTGAAGTGCTGCTGACAGGTCTATTGCTTGAAGCAGTAGTCTGTGGGGAAGGGAAACCCAGGTCAAACAAGCTAAAAGTATGTGTGTGGGGAGAGGGGGTTGAATGGGCCTTTTGACTTGGGGGCATTTTCTTGCTGTTCTGTCATGGTGCCACTGCCCTCCCCAGCTTAGCTGAGGCCGCAAGAGAGGCTCTGTGGTCTCCCAGGAGGAGCAGCATGTCTGGCAACGTGTGTGGAGCCCTGCTGTGAGATCCCAACCGCCTCCTGCCTTTTCCAGCAAGCTGTTTAGGGCTCTGGGCTGCTGCTCGGATAACTCCCCTCTCTGATTCACTTGGCAACGTGCAGCCTCTCCCGTAACATCCCAAATCTGCCTGCGCTCCAGGCTGGGACGCGATATCTTTTAATAACCATGTGATGCAGCTGGAAAAAACTTCTGGACACGCAGTTCTCTGGCGGCCCGGGTTAATGGACACACTTCAAGGGAGAGATTCGGCCGGCTCCCTGGGCGCCGAGGGAGGCGGTGCTGCTGCGGTAGGGTGAGCAGGGCAGCTGCTGGTGGCCTGCAGCAGATGCAGGCTGTGCCCTGGAGGTCAGGCTCTCGCCACGTCTCTGCGGGGAGTTTGCTTTCTGTTGGCAGGGCTGGGGAGGATCCCAGCGGGCAGTGCTGCCTTGTGTGGCAGACACGTGCCCGGCTCTCCCCGCTCGGTGCCACCCCTGCTGAAGGTGCCTTTGGTATCCAGCCCTCAGCTGTTACAACGCCGCGGCTGTGCTCCGGCAGCTTCTGCTTCCTAGTCCAGGTGGGTGCCAGAGGCTTGACTCTTACCTGCTGAGCTGGCCCCTGTAAACGCAGGGCTCTGGGAATGCCTGAGGGAGGGCTGTGACTGCAAGGGGACTTGGGCCAGGCTGTTTCTGCATCCTGACTCCTATCCCCTTCCCTCTATCCCAGAAATATCCCTGTTCCAGGTCCCCCCCTCCAGATGCTTTAGGTCTGAGGTAGGAGCTGACAGATCAGAGTGGGGATGATGGAGGAGATGTCTCGTTACTGACATGCAGGGTTCCCTCCTCTGTCACTGGCTGCCACCTCGTAGCCAGATACCACGGGAGACCTGCAGAGGCATCAGGCTTTGCTGCTACAGGAGGGCTTTGCTGGGCAGTGGTGCTGTATTTCTTCATTGGAGTTGCTGGGTTTTACTGCTCAGGTGGAAGCTGTTGTGCTGTTGTTGTTATTACCAGCCCTTGTTGGGACTGATGATGCCTACCTGGTTTCGTGTTGTGCTGTGCCAGGCTGACCTGGGGTTTGCTATGGATAGAGAGGAGCAGTGGGTGCTGTGGTGGAGGGCTCACTGCACACTCACTGCTCTGTTCAGGGTTGTAAAGCAGGTGGAGCAGACCAGAAAGTTGTTTTGGCACATGGTTTGACAATGCTTATCCATCCAAACAGGCGGGTATGGGGTGCGTGTGCCCAGCCCCATGGGAGCCAGAGGGAAGAGGTGCACTGGGTGTGATCCCAGCACGGGAGGAGTGGTGTGTGCAGGCTTCTTGGCTCCCAGCAGTGCAAGTGGCTTGGTGGGTTTTGTCTGCTCTCTCTCTGCCTTTATCTTGTCTCTCTCCGGGCTGTGCGTCTATCTGGACAGGCTCTTGACCCACCCCTGGGACTGCCCAGGGTATGCTGCAGGGGCTCGGGTTACTGGACGTGATAGTTAATCCCCTCGCTGCCTTCCAAGCTCAACACTTGCTGCTGCTGTCATCTGGGAGGGGGCCAGGGAACTTGTCTTCCTCACCCGGCTCCTTCTCAAGAGTTGGTGTGAGGACTTGCCATGGAGCATCCCAGAAGTGCTGGCAAAGCCACAGCCACTGTGCTGAGTGTGTGGGGACGTGCTGCAGGATGGGGCACTGATCTGCAGCACTCAGATATTCTCCCATGGGCTGGTTGGGTAGCCTCAGGCGATGCTGAGCTCTGCTTTGGAGCAAGCTGGAGGAAAGGGAGAGGATCAAGGTGCTGGGTGGTGCTACTTATGATTTATATCCCTCTTGGCTGTGCCACGGCCTGGCCCCCAGCTCTCTTATCCAGTAGCTCTTCATGTGACTTTGTCTTTCAGGTTTCAGGCGACAGCAAGCTGCAAAACCCTCAAGTAGTACAGCTGGGATGTGCTCTCTGCCCCTCAGGTTGAGAATCCCCAGTTAGAGGGTGATCCTCAGCCACCGCCAGGCCCTTGCCAGCTTCTCCAGCCATTCCTGGGTACCCCTGCAACATTGGCAGCCTCCAAAGGTTGGTTATCTGTCTTGCTGAGTAGACGTGTTACTTGTGCTCTCTTCCCTTCTTAGTGTTTCTGTATCCAAATTGGTAAACTGGGGATAATTGCATGGCACTGCGGGCTGCCTCCTTACTGGATGTGTGGTGTTTGGGACCAGTGGGGAGGCTCTGGAGGAAACACTGATGCTTGTAAGCCCTTGTGGGCCAGCTCTTGCGGGGAAATACCAGA